GGCAGGTGTGGGTGTGTCCAGCGATGGCAGGGGCGGCAGGTGTGGGTGTGTCCAGCGATGGCAGGGGCGGCAGGTGTGGGTGTGTCCAGTTAAGTACCACATGTTTTTATTTGCAGCGAGCATTTCGTGACTTAGGCCTTCCTTACATGTTTCAAAGTTGTTCCTGGTGAGAATGTGGCGGGCACACGTGCTTAGTTGGTGCTGACTTTCCCTGTGCTGGAAGTGAACGGTTCCCCGCAGAGGAGAAGCCTGCGGCGTGAAGACCCAGGAGGAGACGTGCATAGCTAGAAACCTGCAGCCCCCGGGTTACTTGCCCTGGGTATAGAATGAATTTCATGCGGTAAGTATATTTTTAGTGCTAAGTGGGCTTATTTTTTCCAACTGTATAGGTGAATACAGTAGCGCAGAATTATTAAAGCAGACTTATTGAGAGCCACATTTATTTCTAGTTCCGTTTAGGAAAGTTTCGGTATTACTTGGTACACCCACTATTATGAGTCCAGTTTTGCTAAGCTCCTGTGGGAATTGCTTCCGTGGCCACTAGAGGGTGCTTTTGGGTAATACAGCAGTACTCCAGCCTGCACTTAGGTTAAAGACCTTAGCATAGTTTCAGTGGTGCTTTGTGCGGCGGTGGGTGGGGGAGGGTTTCTCGTGCTGCTGCCCGGCTGTCTTGACACTGAGCTGCGTCCCGGCCGTTTTCTGTTTTGACATAGTGTCTCCCTCAGTTGCCCAAGCTGAGTTAAATGTGCCGCCCACCTGCGTCCGCCTCCGAGTGCTGGGATTGTAGACCTGTGCTACCGTGCCCAGCTGTGGTATCCACGTTATTCTTACAGCGTGAAATTGCAGATGGCTATAAAGTGTCTTTGTTATGTTTGATGATCTCAGTAATTACGTTAATTTCTTAAAGACTAGCTCAACTTATGCTTGGCACCAAGCTCGTGAAGTAACTTAGACATGTTTAATATCTGCGCTTCTTAGCGTATTTTAATTCATTAAATTTATCTTTGTTTTTAGTTCACATTTATTCATGAGTATAATATTTTACCATAAAAGGTGGCTTTTGTCAATTTATTTGTCTATATAAGGAAAATCCTGATCCGGTAAGAGCTTGTCCATCCTAACGTACTAAGGCTCTTGTGCACTGAGGACCTCTGACTGTATTACAAGACATAGCTATGTGTAAGAAAAAATTGCATTATTATAACTTATTCAGTTAAAATTATCTGCACATACCATCTCATTACGATCTTGTTTTATCTTATTAAATTTATTGGTATAATTTAGATACGCATAATGATGGTATTCGTCACAGGGAGTTTGCACCTGTGTATGCTGCATCTTCATTCTCCGTTTCCCATCCCCCACTCGCTTCAGTCCCTCTTCCCCTCCTTATTTACAGAGCTTTGTTTGCATTTTGTCGTTTCCTCACTTTTTTCTTTTTCCTTCTCTCCTTTCTCCGTCTCCCTCTCTGATC